TTGTAGATCTGGTGTTGATGATAGTATTGCAGATCTGGTGTTGATGATAGTATTGCAGATCTGGTGTTGATGATAGTCTTGCAGATCTGGTGTTGATGATAGTCTTGCAGATCTGGTGTTGATGATAGTATTGTAGATCTGGTGTTGATGATAGTCTTGCAGATCTGGTGTTGATGATAGTCTTGTAGATCTGGTGTTGATGATAGTCTTGCAGATCTGGTGTTGATGATAGTATTGTAGATCTGGTGTTGATGATAGTCTTGCAGATCTGGTGTTGATGATAGTCTTGCAGATCTGGTGTTGATGATAGTATTGTAGATCTGGTGTTGATGATAGTATTGTAGATCTGGTGTGATGATGATATTGTGATCTGGTGTTATGATAGTTTGTAGTTGGTTTGATATATTTGAGATTGGTTGTTGATGATAGTATTGTAGATCTGGTGTTGAGATAGTATTGTAGATCTGGTGTTGATGATAGTATTGCAGATCTGGTGTTGATGATAGTATTGCAGATCTGGTGTTGATGATAGTATTGTAGATCTGGTGTTGAAGATAGTATTGTAGATCTGGTGTTGAAGATAGTATTGCAGATCTGGTGTTGATGATAGTATTGTAGATCTGGTGTTGATGATAGTATTGTAGATCTGGTGTTGATGAAAGTATTGTAGATCTGGTGTTGATGATAGTATTGTAGATCTGGTGTTGATGATAGTATTGTAGATCTGGTGTTGATGAAAGTATTGTAGATCTGGTGTTGATGATAGTATTGTAGATCTGGTGTTAAAGAAAAGTATTGTAGATCTGGTGTTGATGATAGTATTGTAGATCTGGTGTTGATGATAGTATTGTAGATCTGGTGTTGATGATAGTATTGTAGATCTGGTGTTGAAGATAGTATTGTAGATCTGGTGTTGATGAAAGTATTGTAGATCTGGTGTTGATGATAGTATTGTAGATCTGGTGTTGATGAAAGTATTGTAGATCTGGTGTTGATGATAGTCTTGTAGATCTGGTGTTGATGATAGTATTGTAGATCTGGTGTTGATGATAGTCTTGTAGATCTGGTGTTGATGATAGTATTGTAGATCTGGTGTTGATGATAGTATTGCAGATTTGGTGTTGAAGATAGTATTGTAGATCTGGTGTTGATAGTATTGCAAGTCTGGTGTTGATAGTTGACCATCGGTACTAGTCTTGCAAGGTGTTGGGGTGAGAGTTGTACTAGCAACAGTCAGACATATGAGACCAAATAATTAAGAAAATTTAGCACATCTTTCCTACTGGCATATTTAATTTTAGAGTAAAGACAAGAAATTAAACCATGAGGAGGAAATGAAAGAGTTAGTAAAGAGATGTTGTGTATTTAAATAGATTCAACATCGAGGTCTCCTCTTTAACAGTCTACTGAAGAGGACCTCTGGACGTGGGTGTATTGGTGCTAGTGTCCAGTGTTTACTATACGGTTGTGTTGTAACCAAGTCCGTATTTATCGATTGCTCCTCTAATATTATTATTATTATTATTATTATTATTATTATTATTATTATTATTATTATTATTGTTGTTGTTGTTATTAATGGCATTATTATTATTGGTGGTATTATTATTATTATTATTATTATTATTATTATTATTATTATTATTATTATTATTACTGGCATTATTATTATTAGTGGTATTATTATTATTATTATTTATTTATTTATTTATTTATTTATTTATTTGCCTGAAGTGCTGAACCCATCTGCTCCATTTAACGCAAGGAATGGTGGAGGCTCGATCCTACGTCCTGTAATCTCCAAACACTGTACTTACACTCACCAAGTACTTCCGGCGATCTCACGGGAAACAAAGACAACACATTATGCGAGACAATTAACTTGCTAAGAAATAACATCAACAAAGGCTCGCCTAACAAAAGTGTGTTTGTCGTGGTGGGGGGGGGGTAAGATCTCGAGACTCCGGGGGAGGGGAGGTGAGGGGAGAAGACTTCGAGACAATGTTGTCTTGGGAGACACGAAGAGATCTTTGAAATCCATGTGGAAGGGCAAACAATATTTTTTTATGTTGAGGGAAGGGGGTGGGGCAAACATTGCCAGGTTTGTTGGGGTATGTGTGCGGGTGTGGGGAGGGTAGGAAAATAGTAGAGGAGGGGTTGTGGTGATGGTGGGGGGACTCGCAGCTCGAGAGTGTGGGGTGGGGAAGGGAAGGTCTCGTAATGTCGGGAGAATTGCGACCTGATGCCACCTGTTGTTTACCTGCAGTGGGTGGTCTGAGACCTTTGCTAGGAAGGTGGTGGTCCAAGACCACCACCTTCCTTGTCTGATGGTCTGGCCAGTCTTAATCTAACCTAAATAACGTATATCGAGAAATTTGCTGAAAATTGCTTGTACGAAATCAAAACTTGACTTGTACCAGTAAACTGCTGAACCTTCAAATTATAAGCTAAACTCACATCTGAGATCAACACAAAGATGAGTAAGACACAGGTGTCACAATTAGGTATCTTAGATACCTAACTATTACACGTGTGTCTTATTTATCAACATCAACTCGTCGGTACTGTGTACCATTTTCAACACAGAAACAGACTTAGAAGAAGGTAGTTTATTTACCATGACCGACCAAGGAAATGCATATTGCTAAGCCTGGGAAAATACTCACAGAAGAGAGTTTTTTTTTCAGTTGGGAGACATAGGCTAATCACTCTTCATCCTGTGGGACCACAGGCTAATCACCCCTCCCCCTGTGGGACCACAGGCTGGTCACCCCTCCTGTGGAACCACAGGCTGAACACCCTTCCTATGGGACCACAGACTGATCACCCCTCCCCCTGTGGGACCACACGCTGATCACCCCTCCTGTGGGACCACAGACTGATCACCCCTCCTGTGGGACCACAGACTGATCACCCCTTACACAGAACCCTCCCCCCCCCCTTCCTTGCCTCTCCCAGCTTCAGGCTGACACCTGTCATTACCTCGTGTATGAAACGCAACCTTTGTGAGGGAAGATGAAGGGAAAACGTGGCTGGCTTTTGTTCCCATCAAGTAACACTCGTATACAATAGAGAGTCCGCCCACAGCCAGTGTTCCCACAGTGCAACTCACAGAAATTCTTTCAAAAATACAGTTTATTGAAAACGTTTATACGCATGACACAGATATCAAAGCACTTTCATTATTATTATTATTATTATTATTATTATTATTATTATTATTATTATTATAAAACTCAAAAACACAATACCGTGATTGAAACAATACACAAATAACCCCCACATAGGAGAAAGAGACTCTATGACGATGTTTCGGTCGGACTTGTGCCATTAACTAGTCACAAACACAAGGGAAAGGGAGCCAGTATAAATACGGACCGAAATGTGTCACAAAGCTTTTTTCTTATGTACGGGTTATTTGTGTATTATTATTATTATTATTATTATTATTATTATTATTATTATTATTATTATGTTGTTGTTGTTGTTGTTGTTGTTGTTGTTGTTGTTGTTGTTGTTGTTGTTGTTGTTGTTGTTCATATTATTACGAGGAAGCACGAAGCCCGTAGGGGCCACGCAGAGCCTGGGGAAGGGGAGGGGAGAGTTAACTCTAATTCCTTAGATCAAGAGCTCTCCAGCAGCCTCAAGACACTGCCCTGGTGAGCTCAGCTCACCCTCTCGGTAACTCAGTCTTAAGAAACAACTGGGTGAGCTCAAGCTGCCTCTGGAACGTTTACCTAACATGTCAGTGAATGAGCGTTTCGCTCTGTATAGAGCGAAACGTTTTCCCAATAAAAGGTGTAGGACAGGTGGACGCTTGTGCTACTCAACAACTTTCCGGTATTGTATACCATTTTCGACAATAAATGTTTGTTAAGCAAATGAACGGAAAAAAATCAAGGACCCCAATGGAAATAAAAAGTCACTGTGTTTGACCTTTTTTAGGGGGGGAGGGGGAGGGGGGAGGGGGGGGGAGGGGGAGGCGTTATCGTAGGCAATTTACACATACGTTACTATGTATGATAATTTGTGTAACTGCATTCATGTGCGTTTCTACCTAAATTTACTTACTGGTTGTTTTCCCACGTGACTGTTGTAATTCCTCTGCAAAAATTAATTAAAGAATTTGTGTGATCCAAAAAGTTTTTGCTTTGCCTTTTATCACCTAAATAAGATATTTTTTTTATTAACACGTCGGCCGTTTCCCACCGAGACAGGTAACCCGATAAGAAGAAACACGGGAATAGGCCTCTAGGCCGTTCCTATTTCATTCTCGACCTAACACAACCCGGAGTGTACCAGAGTAAGGTACCTCCTTCCATGCAAAAAGAAAAAAAAAGGGCTTCCTCATCATCTCTAAAGGCGAGAAACTAAAGTATGAATATTATATTACACAGACCCCAACACACGACCCAGGTAGAGGGTTGAGATGCCGTAAACGAGATGAGTTGTGGAGGCTTCTCCCTCCGTCCTTCTGTGGTAATTTTCACCTGTATGACACAAAAGGTTAAAGAAATTCTCTGAGTATTAGGGAAATTTTTTTAGTGTTTTTGCGTTGTGAGTGGGTAGGTGTACTCAGCTGTTGGTGGTTGCAGGGGTCGAGTCACAGAATGTAGTGAGAGAGGAGGGTGCGTGTGATCATCTTTTGAGTCTGGGAGAGATGCTGTGAGTGAGATGAGGAAAGTTCTGAAGAGACAAGATGGTGTGGGTGGGGGTGTTGGGGTGGGGGGAGAACTGGATAGAGGGTGTGGGAAGTTAATCAAGATGAGTGGGAGTTGAACTTAAAGAGGCATTTAGAGGAGTGTGTTCTCTCTCTCTCTCTCTCTCTCTCTCTCTCTCTCTCTCTCTCTCTCTCTCTCTCTCTCTCTCTCTCTCTCTCATTCCACATTATTGTCTACCTATACCACATCCCTCATCTTCAACCTCATCATCTCACCAAACAGCACCAGTCTCTGATGTCTCTCACCCACTGCATTTCTCTCTCTCCCCCCCCCCCACAGCATCTCATCACACAACTCGCTGGCGTCCTGTTCTGTGTCGTCTGGGCTGGTACATCCATCGTCGTCAGCAACGTCAGGCCTCGCAGCGCTGCACGCCGGATGTCCCGTCAAGCGATGCGTCCACAGGCAGCGGTCTGGGGAGGAAGTCAAGCAGGCAAGGAAGCAGGTAGGTTTCCAGCGAGGATGTCAAGGGAAGCAGGCACTCTTCTGCGGGGGAGATGAAGGTAGTACGCGAATCTCTGTGAAGGCGGTGAAGGAAAGCAGATACCTATGTCGCTGTGAAGGAGGGGAGGAAGCAGGTACGTCTCTGTGAAGAAAGCAGGTACATCTTTATGAATAATCACGTATGTATCAATAAAGGAAGCAGGAATATCTCTATTACTCTACACTGAGATCCAGCTCATTCCTTCAAATCAGTTCCAAATTACAGCAAAGACAAGTGGGGCGCTAGTCTCGGGGTCCCCACGACCTGCTTGTCCTAGGGGCCCCAACAGCTCCTTGACCTGGGACCCCACGAGATGTTTGCCTTGGGTAAGAGTGAGACTGAGGAGTGAAGAGTGAGAATGTTTGCTTGCTATTAGCTGATCTCTGTTTGTTAGTCTATCACTTAGTGCTCTTGATACTCGCTTGTTTGTGTATAGTTCGGTCTTCCTCTCTCTCTTTCTCTCTAAGACACATATCCATCTCAGAACCACCGTGACTGGGACACGAGGCTAGCTACAAGGTAGGCCCGAGGACCACCATGACTGGGACACGAGGCTAGTTACACGGCAAGCCTGAAGACCACCATGACTGGGACTCGAAAACTGGTAAAGATTGCAAGATCTTACCCACTAGATGACCGAAGAAGAAGAGAGGACATGTCCACACTATACAAGAGTCACAGAGACGATGCTCGACGGGAGAAAACAACGAAGGGACACGGGATGACACTCGAAGTTCCATCGGGCACATTTGACGCAATAAATAAATCGTTCAGAGCGTAGTAAACAAAATTTATTTCATTAAGAACGACTGCAGGTGTGACGCCAACTCAATATTAGGATTAAAATAGAAGAGCAGCAAAAGGGAATAAAAGAAATCACACTTGCTACCTAGTCGGGAGTTTTTTTTTAAGAAGAACCAGTGAGCAGCCAGTGAGCAAGCTCTAGCTCTTGTACCCTCCAACCCACGACCCAAACACCATTTAGTGGGCAGGCCAACTTACTAAGAACGCATATATAATGGAAGTAGAATAAGTCTGCTAACGAAATGCTGAGAAGTGCATCTGTAAAACACACACACACACACACACACACACACACACACACACACGAGAGAGAGAGAGAGAGGGGTGGGTTGATTGCATCTTCTTGGACTGCAAGAAGGCCTTTGACACAGTTCCTCACAAGAGATTAGTGCAGAAGCTAGAGCATCAGGCGCATATAACAGGAAGGGCACTGCAATGGATCAGAGAATACCTGACAGGGAGGCAACAACGAGTCATGGTACGTAATGATGTATCACAGTGGGCACCTGGGACGAGCGGGGTCCCACAGGGGTCGGTCCTAGGACCTGTGCTATTTTTGGTATATGTGAACGACATGATGGAAGGGTTAGACTCAGAAGTGTCCCTGTTTGCAGATGATGTGAAGTTAATGAGGAGAATTAAATCTGATGAGGACCAGGCAGGACTTCAAGGAGACCTGGACAGACTGGACACCTGGTCCAGCAAATGGCTTCTCGAATTTTTAATCCTGCCAAATGCAAAGTCATGAAGTGGGGGAAGGGCACGGGAAGACCACAGCCCAGAGTATAGGCTAGGTGGCCAAAGACTGCAAACCTCACCAAGGAGAAAGATCTTGGGGTGAGTATAACACCGAGCATGTCCCCGGGAAAGCACACTCAATCAGATAACTGCTGCAGCATATGGGCGCCTGGCAAACCGAGAACGCATTCCGATACCTTAGTAAGGATCGTTCAAGACACGTAAAACCGTTTTATGTCAGGCCCATACGGGAGTATGCAGCACCTGTTTGGAACCGCACTTGATAAAGCACGTCAAGAAACTAGAGAAAGAAAAAAAGGGTTTGCCACAAGGTTAGTTCCCAGAGCTAGGGGAATGTCCTATGAAGAAAGATTAAGGGAAATCGGCCGACGACACTGGAGGACAGGAGAGTCAGGGGGACATGATAACGACATATAAAATATTCGTGGAATAGACAAGTGGACAAAGACAGGATGTTCCAGGGAGGAGACACAGAAACAAGAGGCCACCAATTGGAAGTTGAAGACACAAATGAGTCAGAGAGATTTTTAGGAAGTATTTTCTTCAGTCATAGAGTTGTAAGGCAGGGAATAGCCTAGAAATGACGTAGTGGAGGCAGGAACCATACACAGTTTAAGACGAGGTTTGATAAAGCTATGGAGCGGGGAAGAGAGGGCCAGTAGCAACCAGTGAAGAGGCGGGGCCAGGAGCTAAGACTCGACCCCTGCAACCACAAACAGGTGAGTACAAATAGGTGAGTACACACACACACACACACACACACCACACACACACACACACACACACACACACACACACACACACACACACACACACATACACACACACCACACAATATTCAGTCTTAGGAGGAGGGAGGCAGTTAATATTGGTCTGTATTCGCGTACAAAGTATTACCTTGGTGAAGAGAATAAAGAGTTCAAACGATGACTGACGCATCGAACCTTTGAGAAGGAGGAGCTGGTGTGAGGCAGCAGAATGGTGGGCGAAGATGGTGAAAATAATAAAAAAATTAAACTGCGAGTGTTTCAGTCGCTGCTTAATCCCAGAGATGTGTTCCCTGTATCCCACAACCCCAGCCCGCTCTACCTCAATGATCCAAGAGAGGTCGCTTCTCTGGACCAAAAAAAAAAAAAAAAAAAACTTATGCAGTAAATATAACTAATTAAAATATATTAGGGTTCATTCTGGAGGGGAAACCTTGAGAACAGGTCAACAGACCCAGGAGCTTTAGCTCAACAATTTCAAGATACCTAGCACCTGTCTCACAACAGCCTCAACACCCACAGCTGCAGACCAACAGCCTCAGCAGCCACAGAAACTGTACATCAACACAGGAGCTAGAGCTCAACCCAGTCCAATACTGAAAAATTTATTCAGTAACAAACTGCCTATGACTAGTTTTTGTTTTTCATAAAAAAAGTAATAAATTATTTTTCTTCAGAACTGTGAAATACTGAACACCCAATTAATTTAAATATATAGGAAAGGACCTTTTTATGGAGTGTTCAAACTGTTTAACAATTTATTAGGCTAGGCCCAATGGACGCTCTAGATGAGTGCTAAAGCAAATACTGTTTCACAGTTTTAGACTAGGCACGATGGGCCTAGAGCTGTCAGGAAAAGTTGATCTGACGAGTTAGGAAGTGGGGACAAGCTGTCTTGACCTTTAAATACTACTACATAAGACTAAAGGTAGGTTACACACACCAACACACACACCACACACACACACACACACACACACACACACACACACACACACACACACACACCACACACACACACACCACCTCACGCGCGCCGGCGCACACACACACACACAAAGAATGTGAGGAACTCAACATGAGATTCAAAGAAGTGTTCACAGAGGCAACAGAAGGGACTCCAGAAAGATGGAGAGGTGGGTTACACCACCAAGTGTTAGACATAATACATACAACCGAGGAAGAAGTGAAGACGCTGCTAAGTGAGCTAGATGCCTCAAAGGCGATGAGGCCGGATAACATCTCTCCATGGGTCCTGAGAGAGGGAGCAGAGGCGCTGTGTGTACCACTAACAACAATATTCAACGCATCTATCGAAACAGGGCGACTACCCGAGGTATCAAGACAGCAAATGTAGTCCCAGTTATTAAAAAGGAGAGAGACACGGAGCATTAAACTACAGACCAGTGTTACTGACGTGTATACTATGCAAAGTCAGGAGAAGATTATCAGAAGAGTGGCAGAACACCTAGAAAGGATTGAGCTTATCAACGACAGCCAGCACAGTTTCAAGGATGGGAAATCCTGTGTCGCAAACCTACTGGAGTTCTATGACAAGGTGACAGCAGTAAGACAAGAGAGAGAGGGGTGGGTAGATTGTATTTTCTTGGACTGCAAGAAGGCGTTTCACACAGTTCCACACAAGAGATTAGTGCAAAAACTGGAGGACCAAGCAGGGATAACAGGGAAGGCACTACAATGGATCAGGGAATACCTATGGAAATAAATGGTTATAAAATACCGACACAATGGAAATATAAACACTTAAGCAGTATAATGTGACTTGATAAAGACCACTACGTGGACGAAACGTTGTCAATAAAGGATCACATTATACTGCTTAAGTGTTTATATTTCAAGGGAATACTATCAGGCGACAACAAAGAGGG